TGTACAAACTGAAGCAAGAGGGCTAATTTAATTTGTCCAACACAGTAGAAGAGAGTTGGTCTAGTTAAGGCCTGCGGTTTGGGCTGCTTATGCACAAGGAAAGCCAATGATGGAGAAGGAAGTGCGCAGGCCAGAGTCACAGTGCCGCATTTCACCACGGAGCTTGGCTCAGCTCAGGGGATTTAACTCCTCCATGTGTGATTTTCTTTTCTCGAGGAAACACAAGATGATTGCATTTTTTTAAAATGCACTTCCAGAGGTGACATGGTGGCACCTGATCTGATCTGCATGAAAGTACTTCAGAAGTGCCTGGGGACCAGGGAACACAGGCACCATTGTCATTGGAAATCACATGGAGGCCCACTGAAATATCAGAACCCTAGCAGGACACTGAAGGGTATTTTCTGCATATTGAAGTCCAGGCTGCAGTTCTGCCCTTTGAAAGGACAAGCAGTTTTCAGTGACACCACTTAGCAGCTTTTCATGCCGCAGCGTCTGCCACATGCAGGAAATGTGCAGCAAGGCCTCCTGCCTCCCAGTTCCTGGTTAGCCTGCCTGGCCACCAAGGTGTCAAAGGTGAGGCAGTCACAGGGTGGAGCCGCTCACATCAGGGCCTTTTACTAAAAAGGATTTGACTGATGCTTCCCACAGCCCACCTCCCGCCCACTGCCACCACCAACACCTACCTGTGTCTAGTGCTCACAGCAGGCTCACTCTTGCTAAAGGCTCTTCAGAACGGATGCCCTTCAAACAGGGAGGACCCACACACATCTGTTGGAAGGGCTGACTGTCAAATAGCACCATCGCACTTACTGAGTGTTACCATGAGCCACGCAGTGTTCTGAGTGCTGCAGAAGTGAAGGCAGCTTTCTGGCAGATAGTCCATTCTAGGAGAGTAACTCTTAGAGTGGATGCAATTACTATCTTCATTTCACAGGTGAAGCAGAGCAAACACAGGGAGATTAAGGAACTTGCACGAGGTTACATAGGAAGAGGACTTTGTAGCTGTGAGTCCGTTCTATCCCTAATTTATAGGTTTGGGAAACACTAAGGTTAAGGTTCCAGTAAGATAAAAATAATCATTCATTCACAATACACACATTTACTGAGTGTCCTACATTGTCATGTATCATACTAAAAACTGGAGACAATGCTAATTATTAGGAATTCCAACATGAACGTAATAGAGTTCCTACCTCAAGGACTTTACAGTCCAGTGAAGGGGAGCATAAGTAAATGGGGCAAGTACTTTGACAGAAATGTTAGATGGCCTAAAAGGGACAATGAGCCTGTTATGCTGCGGTCATCAGAGAATGCTGAAAGAATGTGCACCTGATTTGAACCTTAGAAGAGGTAGAAGGAATGGAAGGGTGTACCGGGCAAGAAGAGTGATGAAGATGAGAGGGATGAGAGAGCAGTGAGTGTACAGGGCAAGCTTGTCTGGAACGGCTCATTCACAGGATCGTGGGTTAAATGCAATAGATGGGGCTGGACAGGCAGGCAGGGGTCAGAGCATGAGGGGCCTGCCTCGTACAAAAAATCATGGGCAGTTGGACTTCATGATACAGGTGAAGGGACAGCAGGTTTAAGAAGACAAACACTAGAGGAAAAAAGTACTCAGGTCACATTCTGAAAAAGGACGTGGGAGTAGGTACAGGGTGAGCAAATGGAGACTAGGATGGAAGTTACAAGGTCACCATGGCACAAAGAGCTTGCAGCGGTAAGAGTGACCCAACAGCACAAGCAGGGACGTGAGGAGTGGAGACTCTCAGCCTCAGCACTACTGACATTTGGGGTCAGATATTTTTGTGGTGAGGGGCTGTCCTGTGCTTTGTAAACCGTTCGGCAGCATCCTCGGCCACCACCCACAAGACGCAAGCAGCAGGCCCATCCAGCTGCAACAACCAAAATGTCTCCAGAAGTTACCAGATGTCTCCTGCGAGCAACTGACTGTGCAGCCAAGTGATCGCCACTTGGAATCCACTGGTTTAGACATGCTGATATTAACACAGAATCAACTGGACCTGAGTGCGTGGGTAAACTGAGGGAGAGAATAATCAAGGTTAAGTTCAGAGTCTCTACAATGACAAACTTCTGGGCAGAAAGAGGTCAGATTTGACTTTGGACACATTCAAGATATTTGTGGGATATCCTCTTGGAGAGGCCCAAGAGGCAGCTGAGTGGAAGGATCTACGCTCAGAGGAGAGATCTCAGTTGGAGACATAGATTTGGGAATATCTGCATAAAGTGGACAAGATCACGCAGGAAGACTCATGGAGTGAAAATAGTACCAGGCAGGAAATCTAGAGAGAACTGACAGTTATGGGTGATAGAGAATTACTAAATTACCATTTTAATTCTCCAATGGAAGGACAGTTTAAAGAGAAGATCTTAGCATCCTCTGTGTCCTAAGCAGAAGCTAAAATTTTTTAAGGAGGTTAGGGAAATTGCACGAGATGGTGAGAGTTCTTATTACACAGTCTTGAATACCTCATCTGCTAAATTTATTTTCTTTCTGTGCTTTTCATGCCAAACAACACACCAACCCCTTAAAGAGCCTCATAGTTCTATAATGGTGAAAGAATACCTAGAAACAAGGCTGAACTGAAAAATCCATCATGCATTTATTAGCAATGTGGTTTCACTACCTTGTCATCAGTGTTCAAAAATAGTACCACAACTGAAGGCTCACGGGAAATGAGGAAGCTTTATATACAAACATATTCAATAGATTTTGGTAAGCTTCTACAGTGATAATTCTTGGAAAAAATAAAATGTCATGAAGCAATGGACAAAAAGAGCTTATGGGATAGAAAGCAAATGTAGTAAGAGGAAATAGTATCACTTTTGGCAGGAAAGTCAGATGAAGTGGGCAGATAATTTCCTAGAGATGACAAGATTTCCATAGAGTCACAAAGCTAATTGCCTACAATGCCAGTTATGATGAAAAGCCCTAGAGTAGGGCAATAGCTGCTTGTCAAAAAGGAACTCAATATTGAAAAGGCGGCCAGACACCTTGGGTAAATAAGTGATTACCTGAGTGTAAGTCAGATACCCTTGTGAGCAACAGCGACTCTTCGGGCCAGCGATGTGTTTGGGAGGCCCACTCGCAAATAATGCTGCGCGTCTTCCTGGGGGGCCAGACACCCACACGAGCACGCCCTTCAGGCTGAAACTCTCCACACACTGGGGGTCTGTGTTGAAAGGGAGACAAACCAGAGTTCTGGAAATAACCTCCCCATCTCACTCATTTGTCAGAGGGGATGTCTGCTATTTTTCTTTGCAAGAAGAGCCCTGCTTGCTCAGTTTTTATTGGGAGCACTGGACTGCCCTTCCAGTCCCAGCCCTTCCAACAGCCTTCTCTCCCCCTCCCTTTGCAACTTTAGAAAAGAAGTTAACAAATGGATCTAATTACCACAGTGGTTTGAGGCTTCTCAACCTTTTTTTTCCCTTCCAGCTGTAAAGATGTCCTTAGACTGAACTTCACATTCAGAACTGCTGTCAAACTCTCACTTTAATGGGCACTTAAATTTAATGTCAAGCTGATGCCAGTGAAGACCTTGATTAAATTTGCAAACAGTAGATTCTAACCAAACCAGAACTTTCGAGTTGTCTATTTTATCTTTCAAGCTTAAATCCCAGAAGTTTTCTTTTCTTCTTTGCAAAGAATTGCAGAGGTTTGCTTGCAAAGATTCTGAGTATCAGTAAGACAATAAAGTGTAACAAACAAACACACTGAATGCTTCTAGAGAGAGAAGAAATCCCTCAGCTTATTAAAATTCTGTGTGAATTAAAGATCTTTCCCATTGCTTTATTTTGCTCCCTCTCATTCAAAATCTGTAAGTATTCACTTTTATGACTCTATACTATTATAAGCAGTCCTAAAAAGTTTATTTAAAATCTTCATAGTGTTCTTTTATGCACGTTGCAATTAGGAGTTTTGTACGGTACGGGCAGAGTGAGAAGCCGACCGACATGAAAGAAATACGATAGAAGCTCCACTGACGATGTCACTGCTTCTACCAGCTACACAGTTCCAACTAGTCTCTTTCTTCTGTTGCTTTTTTTGCCTCTGATAATCATACAGCCTCTCCTCCTTGAAGAGGTAATAAAAGACCAGAAGTTTAAAGAACTGAGACATATTCTTCTTCATTGGCTCCTGTTTTGAAAAGAGCCTGCTGGCTTTTGATTTGTCTTCGGAGTTCTTCCTGTATCACTGGATTCAAACAGGTCTGCTTTCAAAGAAAGCAAATCAAAATTGTCAAGATCTGTGAAGCATGAAAAATAAATAGCTTTTTCCAACTCCAAAAAGCATCGGAAAGGCATTAATTTCTGTCTCCTTATATAAACCTCTAACTCCTATCCTCTAATCTGTAGACTTTACAAAATATATATTCTGCTGTATATTAGATGACAGGAGATCAAACCTTATTACAAAGAAACTGGACTTATAATACAACTAATAGTTAAACTAGTGTTATTTTGGAGTTTGACTAGACATATATAAAACATTTAAATAGGATGACAAATTTTTGGAGCTGCTAGTATAAAATAGCTAAGACACCTCCAGTCTGCGTGGCTCTGTCCTTTGAGCTGGGCTGAGCACAGGCTTCATAAAGAAAGAAGATGCGGCAGTAGAAAAAGCCTTGCAAAATGGCACCAAATATGAAATATCCTGTCACGATTTCTCATTGAAATACAGTAGTGAGACTGCTTCTAATAGCTCTCTTTGTTTAATACAACAGAGGTGTACATTTCTACGCTTGGCTTTCTAAAGCTAACTTAATTCTTTGGTTAAAATAGCTCCATGTAGCACTTGTTCTTAACATAAAGAAAAAAAGGTTGTGGTTTTGCAGTTCAGGAATAAAGTGGTAGGCAGTAATCAGATTCCTGTTGAGAACCACAAAATGATAGAAGGAATAGCAGAGGGTTTCAGAAGGGAGAGATTTAGATGGTGATCTGTAGTGGAATAATACCATCTTCTAAACGAGGTAATAATAATTCAAAAAGACAAGTGAAGGTTCAGATAGTATCTCATTTAATGATATGTTAAGTATTCCCAGAAATCTGCTCAGCAGCTTAATGTAAAAACCCAGTCAGATGACATTTTTAGGTTCTAATGATCTGATCCTGCTTAAATCCTTTTCATATTGCTGTGCTTTTTCACAGGATTTAAAATGTGATGCTTCTGACGGTTCAGTTTTCTGAATACAATGTCCTCTTCTCAATTTTGTTAGTCTGTGATCTGATTCAAGAAGATAAAGTACTTTCCTCTTTACCAGGAAAAGAGGACTGAAAGAGAATATTTTTACATAATCCAAAGTAATAGTTGAGAAAGGGTTACACGTCAACCTGGGTCACCTCTCCCTTCGAAGAGCCCCAACTACTCTGCGGGAGTGAGTAGAGACCACAGGGAGGAACTACGTTAGTTAGATGAGGGCTCCACGGGGACACCGCTCCACAAGGCATACAGGGCACCACGCCTGCTAGAGGCAGGTAGAGGGAGCGGGCATCACTCCAGTTTGTCGGTGGTCAGCCACAGCATGTACCAAAGCCCTTTGCTGGCACTGAGAGGAGGGGGCTGCTCTCAACAGCAGCACATTCTGTGAATGAGTTTGCCAAGCCAATCTGACAGTTCGCAGCAGCTGCAGAAGCAATAAGGTGCGGAAGTTGGAGGGTGGAATGAAGATGCAAGAAGGTTGCAAAGAAAGTCTGAAGGGTTTTAGTGACTGTCTATTCTTTGTGCACCTGCCCCCAAAATAATGGAAAATGACAGCAGCTAAGCGGTACCATCATTTTACATAGTAACACACTTCCGTGTTTTAATAATACAACTGACTATACAAATGCTGTCTCATTCTCCTAATTCTCGTCACAAGGCATTTCAGCAAACTCTGCTGCCAGTCAAGGCAGAAGTGCTCCTTGGCCACACACAGCCCACAAAAAACGTCTAAAATCATTGGTGACTGGCAGTGCACTCGATGCTCCAAAACACCACTTGACAGACACACTCATGCCCATTTTGATATTTATTAACCAAAGTGGTCCAGAAAAGGACTGGGTTAAAAGTTTCGAGTTGCATTCTTTCTGGGGGGCTGTAACCAGTCTAGAAAGCCATTCTATCTCCTAACACAGGACTTACATCACATTACCCAAGAGTCAGACTTCAAGAGAAATTGTTCCTCTACCCTTATGTCAAAGCAAAATATAGTGGAGGTCTTTGTTTTTACCTGCAAGCCTGTTTTCCTAAGAAGCATGTGTACATGTGGAGGGAGAAGCTTGACAGCAGGGGGAAAAAGGGGGGAAAAATCTTAAAAGTAGGAAATGAAAGCTAGGGAGGAGATTACTAAATGCCAAGAATCAGTCACTGAAGTAATCCTCTAGTCCCTCCACAGCCATGTCCGGGGAGGGATTTAGAGAGGCCAGGGCAGGGGACGGTTCCTTGGCTTTCTGGACACTGGGTTTGGGTTGTGGAGTCTCAGGTGGGACAGGCTCCTTCTTGACGTCTTTACCACCATTTAGGATCCGCTGGCTCTCAACAAAGAATTGATTAGGGTGATTCAAAGAAAAGCCACAATCATTCACCTGTACAGGGAAGAAAAGGTGTTTCACATTAATACTTAGCAAAGGTATATGGGGCTTCAAAAACTGTCCCAGACCTCATTTGAAACGTATTTAATACCTGAAACATGTTTCCTAGCAGTTCCTGTTCATTCCACTCACTCCACTACCTACATGACTGCATTCAGAAGGAGCATCAATGCCTACCTAAACATTAATGGCTCCTGCACCTCTATCTACAGTCCAGATCTCTGCACTTAGCTCCAGTTTTCTCTGCAACTCAGCATCTCAGATGGCTCCAAAGCAGTTCCAAGGTAAATGCCTGACATATTGTTGGTCAATATTTATTGAAAAAAAGACGGAATCTTCAAACAGGGAATGACTAACACAGACACCACTTTGATCAACTGATCCCTCCCTGATACCACTCATATTTTGGAGCTTATAAGTCTGGCATAAGTAATCCCATTTAGTATAATACAAACTCTGAAGAAAAAAAAAAACCTAATACAATTTTTTTCATTCCAATCTTGGGCTTTCCCTGGTCTTTTTATTGCAAATCTTTTTGTAATTTTCACTGTGACTTAATGCAAACACAAGCAGGTTCACAGTTTTATGTTATTTCTTTTCTCAAATACTATCACTAAACTTAAAATTGTATTTTGATTATCATTTCAAATCAGCCATTCCTCTGTGCCTTTCATACTCAGTGAGCCTCTATGAGGATTTGAATACATGCTGTATTTGAGATTCAGCAAACACAACCTTTTCTACATTTGATTCCAATATCAATGGTGAAGAAAACTATATTCCTTAATAGTTATCAAGTGCTTACTTAATGCCTATTATGTGGCAGATATTGTTCTAAGTGGCAAATAAACACACTTACACATGCATATATTCAGTTAGCTCCATAAGAGCCTTCTGAAGGTAGAATGTCAGTATTTTCAGTTTTTTACAATGAGGTATCTGAGAAAGGTTAAGTAACTGCTCAAGATGACTCACGGGCAGGGCTGGAGCTAGGCTACGAATTAGCAGGGTCCATGATTGCAGCCAGGGTGCTCTGATGCTGCGGCTTTATGCTAAGGTCAGTAATTTTATATTCATTCCTTAAAATGTGTAACTCTTCACTAACTCTTGGTGCTTTCTACTGGGGTGGGATGTATGGGCAAGAGAGCCCTTTAAGTGTGAGCTTCTTGCATGATCACTTTCTTCACATTCAACCACAGTCACAGTCAGACTGAACTGATCACATGTAACCCTAAACCTAACTCAGATCCCTGCCTTTCACAGTCGCAGCTGACGACAAACAGAACGCCCCGTTTCTTGCATTCCTTGTTGGGCTTTTCTGTTAGGGGTTATTTTTACCTCACATATTTTTATAAACTGAGAAGCCATTACACTTCCTTTGCTCATCTGTCCTGTATTTATCAACCTTCTTATGTCTCACTCTGTCCTGAAGTGACTTGTACACAGTACAGAGCTAATAAATATTTGGTGAGGTTAGCCCACAACAAACCAGTGTACACCAGTTTTATATTTCACACTGAAGACTATGTACAATGCCATGTTATAAGCTAGTAGTTTTTCATAGGAGAAAGCATTTGACTAAGTCTAACTGTGAAGAAATTTCCAGCCTAGTAAGTCATAAACTTAAGGGTCACAGACAAGGTTTATATACTTAACATTAGAGAGAGATTCTGGCTACAGAGATCAAGGGAGGCTTAGTGAGGGAAAGGCTACAGCAGTTGAGAGTGAAAACCTAGGACAGTGAGGTGAAGGGCGAAACGAACAGCAGCAGCACAGGAGCACCGCGAGAGGGAATGCCTTGGGAAAGCAGGTGCTTCGGATGGCCTTGTGTGAAAGGCACATAAAGGAGAATAATAGGAAATGAGTTGGGAGACAGGCCAGACCTCAGAAAGCCTTGAAAACCAGAATAAGCTACTGCAGGATAAGTAGTCTAGACCTAATTTTGTAGGCATCAGAGAGTCACTAAAAATCCTTAAGAAGGGGAGTGAAGTGATTAGGGCTATGTGTAACCTTATGGTAGATTAAAATGAGTTAGTAGGGGGTTAAAAGAGGTGCTGTTATGGTCCAGAACTAACCCTCCTCACAAGTAAACCAATAAACAGAAACAAGGTCTTTTCTGGTAATCCACATTGGAACAATAATTTACAGTAACTTTAATGTATAGCAGACTAAGAGTTATCACCCAATCACTAAGAACAAATTTTTATCTATTTTGCTGCTTAATTTCAAAATGTTTCCTGAATGATTTATGTTACATCTGTATTTATTATTAATAATGGACTCATTTGTGAACTTATTATATTTGATTTTTCACCCATTCATTAAGAACTGGAAGATCTAATATAAAGTGTGCATTTTACAAGGATTCCAATGAAAAGTAAGCATAATGCCCTGCCACATTTCAATCAGAAGGCTTTGTTTTATAAAGAGAACATTAGAGACTAGAAAGACTTGAGGACTCTTCCAGTTGAATATCCTCCATGTACAATCTAGGAAAATGAGGCTAAAAGAGATAACTTGGTTTATATAAAGTTACAGAACTAGTAATCAATTTTGTGTGAATTAGAATTCAAGCATTTTGATTAGATCACTTAGTTGCTCTGAAATCTGTTCTAAGAGGTTTTATGAAAAATCAAACTTAACAATCATTATTTCTAAAGCTAAATTTAGCTGTAAAGATTATAAAAAACATTTCATTCTGGATTAAACTAAATTATCAGACTTCAATGTGGACAAAATGAAATAGAGTCTTCTTTATAAGCCTCCGTTTCTTCATCAATGAAATGGAGATAATAGTGGCTACATCACAGGGTTGCTATGGGGAAAACCAAAGAAATGAGTCAGTGGCTGTTTATTCTTTTTTTAAAAAGGAACACTGCTTCATTCTAGATTTGGAAACAATTTTCATGCCTTTTTTCTTATTCGATTGATGGTTTTTTATTGTGCTTTGTGCAGTCCGTTAAGTATTGGGATAGGGAAATTCTGTGATCCATTTTCATTTTGCCACATTCTCTTGGACTATAAAGGATCTAGAAAAGAAAACTTTTAAAGTTTTTGTTTTAATCAGATTCTCCTATTTTAAAGAAAGAGCACTCTAGCAGTTGTGTGGAAGAGAGAGCATTGGAATGGTGCCTGTGCTGTAGATGCTAGGAACTGATTTACAAAGCTACTGCAGTGATGCACGTAAGAGAGGATAGTGGCTTCCAGCCCAGCGTTCTGATATCCATAATAAAGACCCTGAGTTATTATTTTAAATATTTGGTATGTTCTGTTTAAGACTCCAGGAAAATGTGTGAACAAGATCTCTGTAATGATTGATACAGTGGGAAAAAATACGCTCAGCTTTTTGGCACTGAGTCATTCTGGATACTCAGGAATAATCTACAGAGGCCTAGTTTTTCATTTTCACGTGGACTATGGCATAAGAAAAAAAAATAAAGTATAAAACACTGCTTTCTAAAAATACTGAGGAAAAAAGGTTTTAGGCAGGGCAGTTTTTGACATCTACACAGCGACTCTCAAGCATCTGCTTGCAATCAACATGTTTTGCGCACAATGGCCTTCACAAAACACAGGTCTCATATTTCTGGCACTGCAAATGTAGATTTTGAAGAAATGGAAGCAATATTGTTTTACCTATGGGATGTTTGGGTTTTAATCAAGAGGTTTTGCAATGACAGCTTATAATGAGGCAGCTGGTATCACCAGAAAGCCATATGGAACTATTATAATGCTGCTGTAAATGGGATCAATTAAGTGGTTCATTTTCAGAACTTTCACTAAAGTGAGTTTGATCACAGACGTCTCAGGAAAATAAACATAGGGTTTTTTGTTGGGGGAGGGAAGAATAGCAGAAACCTGACAATAGAGTAACAAATAGTAAATATTTTCCTAATTAAAATAGAGAGTCATTCACAATTAAAAATCTATAATGAGACATCTCATGAATACAACAGCCTTTTTATTCTATTGATTTATACGTGGTTTAACTTGGCCTTTCTGTATGTGGGAGGATTCAGACACACATCTTTTCAATATCTTCATTAATCTAAGGCAAGTTTTAACAATTGACAATAGAAATACTCTTGAATAATCAATAGGACAGATGCTACAAAAGCAGATTGGAGAAAAAAAACCTCCTTACTTTTATGTCACTACAACTCAATGTTTAAATCTAATTTTCATATCTTTTTATTTTTAAAAAGAGAGGTTGAATAATAGACCTCAATTTGTGAAGTTCTGAGGCCTCTTAATTAGAAGGGTCCACAAATAATTAAGAATATACATAAAATTAGAACTCTCAAGCTGAGCAAGTAAATTAAGGAATACAATCTTCAAGGGAAAGAATCATGCAAAACTGGGCTGAAGTTACTAGGCATAGCTGGCTTATCTGGTGAGTTTTCTTTCTGAGAAAATGAATGAGAATTTGTGTTTATTCCTTTAAATTTTGTAAAAATAACTTTTTAAATGTCTTCAAATAATATTTAAAACAGGCCTAGTAGAGGACTAGACCCACAGCAGACTGGTTCTAGCTCCAAGTCTCCCATAACCAGTTGTGGTACCTTAGTCATGTAGAACTGCTAGGCCTCAGAGTTGTTGTTCTTTTTTTTCTTTTAATGTAAGTTATGAAGATCAGATTATGAATCTAGACAGAAAAATGCTACTGACCTCAACAGCTATTATTACAGATATAGTACAAGATTCTGTCGAATAGCTCGTAAGCTTCAGACGGGCCACCCAACAGCCTGGTTAGAAGCCAAGTTCCACCCCTTATACACAGTATTACACTGGTTGCTCAGCGTGCCTAAGCCTTATTCATAAATGGGGGTAAGAACAGTACCTGGCTGCAGTCCTATAGTGTGGATCAAAAGGGTTAATGTGGTAAAGTGCGTAGGGCTGTGCCTGGCATGTGTTAAGGGTTACAGATGATATTGTTAGGAAATAAATAACTGCAGAATTTACTTGATAAAAGTAACTACAATAGGAAAATTATTTCATGAAAACTACATAGAAAGGACAGCAAAACAGCTGATGACGAACTCAATAAGCGCAACATCTTTTTTGGGAGGATCGTAGATCCTTTTGAAACCTGATACATACCAGACTCCAAAAAAAATGTTGCAAGATTTGTCCTAGGTTAGGAAACCATGATCAGTGGTTGAAGACTGGGAGTCAGTGGGCTGGGCTGGACCTACAGACATGTTCTGTTGGCCCACACAGGGTTGTGAAACTCGTCACTGTGCTTGCCCCTAAGAGGGTGGGAATTCTTCAGTGGGCTACACTTCTTACTATACTATCTAGTATTAATTTCAGCCCAGTTCACTTTTTTGGCTTATTTGCCTGACCTCTGTAGTCTCCGAGTTTGTGACTCTTGCGTTACACTTTTCAGAACCTATTAGCAGGCCTCTTCGTACTGAAGAGGCTGCCAAGATAAAAATCACACACGTTTCACTGACTCCTTCACCTTTAAGGGTATACCCGGTAAACTAAGTTCTTCCATACAGATAAACATCAGACTTGAGGAGTGAAGTAACACAGCGTGGCAGCCACAAGCAAAAGAAGTCGGATTTTCTGCATGAAGGCCTGTGGGTCAAAAATGGCCCACCACTGGTTTTTGTAAATAAAGTCCTACTAGAACATCATTTACACATCGTCTGTGGCTACTTTTTGAACTACAACAGGAGAACTGAGCAGCTGTGACAGAGACCTAAAGTTTTTACAAGCTTACTTCAACCCTAGATGGGGAGTGGTGGGTGGCAGCTCTAGTAAAAGGCAGGCTCTCTCATGGTGTGGCTTCTCCTAGTTATAACATTCCTAGTTATGTAACATCTAAGCTTTATTCTCTGGCCCTTCTATAGACTTTATAAACTACCTAATATTGTGTAATATATTTCTTTCTGCTTAAAATACCTGGAGTAGCTTCTATTGATACAGCTAAAAGCCCTGAATGAAACAGAATAACAGAAGACAAAGAATTAGGCTATAAAGTTTAAAAAGTTACTTACATTATGTATCATCTCGAAATACTTCTGACAGGCTACCTGGTAATGTGTCTCTTTTACTAAAGCCAGAATCTAAAATGAACAAGAAAACAGAGAATAATAAATTTCTTCTAAAATCACTGTTGCTCAGGGTTGTTGGCCTTTTCAAAATCTTCATTCCAAACAGGAAATGCATTAAATCATGTAGCATGTTGTACTTCTGCGGCCTGGACACTGCGATGATTGTGACATTATATAGTAGCTGTTTAGGTCAGCATTAAATCACAGATGATGAGATAGTAAGTGATCTTTCTGACTTACCAACTATGAAATTTCAGTAACTTTACCTTGACAACAAGATGAAAATAGATCCTAGTATTATGACTTTGACAGTTATTGTCAGAAAATCATATTAGAACATCTCTTCCAAAATCGTAGATATAAATCTAGTAATGTAAATGGCTGGTGCATGAAGCAATCAAGTATACTATTTAGATTTTTATTTTTCACATTACTAGTTTATATACATACAGCATAAAATAGAGCTGTGTGCCCATCAGGAAAATTTAATGTAAACTCTTTGAATAAGTGTCTGTGAGAGGGAATGCTCCCCCCTTCAATCAGATTTGTTCTTTTTTGAAATGAAGTTATTTCTGCTAAAGCTCAGCAGAATAGGAGAGTGAATAGTCTATTCTGAACACCTATTAGGAACATTATCCTATCTTTTGTAAATACAATTTGCTTTCCCATTCCACTGCATGTAATCTCTTCAGAGTGGTGCAAACGCCCATTCTTATCAGCAGACTGCAATGCCAGTTGAAATTTGTAAAGTTTCATCACCTTCTCTGCCAAATAAATAAAATGTATATTTGGCATGTTTATCAAACACAGTAAAATCCTGGAATCAAGAGATAGACTCAAATGAAGGGAAAAATAATTCTAGAGAAATGTTAATTTCTATCCCTTTCAAAAGGCTGACCTCCTTCCTATGACAGAAAGAAAAGTACATGAAGCCTCAAATCCCTGCTACATTCATTACTAAATATAGCTTATATCTTTTGACAGATATACAAAATTATTACAGTTGCAAGAATGGACACCATACAATACTGACAATATTGTCCTTAAAATAATTGGTTTTCTCTGATTGTCTTATACACTCTGGTCACCTTCCATTAAATCCTATATGAAAGACCTATGTAATGCCAGCCAGTCACAGCACCCAGGATCCTGCCTGTTCGATCTGTCCATTTTTCTTGAATTACTACAACAAAAATGAATAAAGTCACAAAGCTTTCCAAGTAACTAACACTCGGAGGTCATATTCTCCAATGTTTTTACACAGATACTCCTATTGAGATGAACTTGATTATTGAGTACCTGTGAATTACAATTCTGGAGAATAAAAGACTTCAAACAAATTTAAATGTTGCCATAAACTATCTGAAGAGAAAATGAATTCACAGAAATAAAAAACTGTGTGGTAAAGGTTCTTTTTATGTAAAACAATGAATCCAACATCATATTCTATATACATGCATGTATATATGTATATTCATAGATATGTATATAAAAAACATTTCTCTTCCTTGCAAAGTAAATATATAACATTATATACATACAACCTAATAGATGTATGTTTGAGAAACATGTTATAAAGAAATCCTTTTAAGAAACACCTGTTAAGGAAAATAGGAAAACAGATTTATGGAGAGGGGAAAAAAGATGGCAGAATAGGAAGGGAAGGCAGAAACCTCCTCCCATACACAGCTAGGAAGCAACCACAGCAAATACAACTCACCCTGAAAACGACCGGAACCCTGCAGAACCGACCACCTGCACCTGGTGAGGAGAAGGCCACACAGGGAAGGGTGAAGGGTCAGAGCCACGATCAGGTGGGACCCAAGCCCTTCTCCCAGCCCAGCCCACAATCCAAAGGAAGAGGAAAGGAGCAGGGAGAGGACAGTGCTCAGGAACTCTGCACACCCAGCCTGGAGGACAGGCAGTCCTTTGGTGCCACTGAGACCCAAAACAGAGGCAGCAGTTTGAAGGATTTACAAGCAACAGGAAAGGTGTCAGAAGGGTGGGATTTTCACTGAGCATTCTCCTCAGAGAAAGTGGTAGGTTGCTCATGAGAGCCCCAAAATCTCCCTCCCCTCACTGGCAGCCTGTCCCCCTTGGCCCAGCAGCATCCAACTTTGCTGTCTGGCAGGCAGAGGGGAGGCTCTTCCAGTTTCCTGTGCTCTCTCAGCCCAACTGGGACAGTGTCTGCAGGAGTCAGCTACAAATGCTCCTTCATTCCTTTCAGATGGTGCAGCTGGTGTCACAGGCCCCCGAGCTTCAACTGTCCCCCTACCTCCAACAGCACCACCACAGCTGCAGGGGAGGCAGAGGGTGGCCCTGCCCACAATAATCCAGGCAGAGGCACCCCTGCTCTGATCACAAAGGGACAGCTGAGGTGAGCTGCCATCCACAGCTGACTGAGCTAGACCACTGTCAGCAGACAGAAAAGTGACCCTGCCCACAGTCCACCATAGAAACCAGGGCTCCACTGCAAAGGAGACCGGGCACTGGACAGAAGAGTCGTGAGCCTCAGGGCACCTTCTCCATGAAACCATTACTCTCTAGACCACGAAGCATAGCAGATCCATGTAATACAAAGGAAGAAACACAGAAACCATTAAAAAAAAGAGGAGGCAGAGGAATATGTTCCAAACAAAACTACGGGATAAGACACCAGAAAGAGGGCTAAATGAAACAGAGATTACCAATCTTCTTGATAAGGACTTCAAAGTAACAATCATAAATATGCTCACTGATGTGCAGAAAAGTATTGATTTCAGGGAGGACTTCATTAAAGAGATAGAAGAGCTGAAAAAGAGCCAGTCAAAGCTGAAGAATACAGTAAATGAAACGAAATATACAATGGAGAAAATAATAGATGGCTGCAAGTGGAGACAATCAATGAGATGGAAATTAGTTCCTCAGCTTCATTGTTTTCCTGTTCTCGCAGAGAAAAAAGAGTCTAGAAATGAGAGGATGCTAAGAGAGCTGTAGGACCATTCCAAACGAAACAATACTCATATAATAGGGGTATGAGAAAAAGAGAGACAAAGGGGTAGAAAGTCTCTTTGAAGAAATAATTGCTGAGAACTTCTCCAAATAGGGGATAGAATAGATACATGGAAGCACAGAGAGGCCCTAACAAATGGAACCCCAGGAAGACAGCCCCAAGATTAAAAATAAGGAAAGCGTACTGAAAGCAGCCAGAGAGGGAAAAAAGATTACTTATAAAGGAAACCCCATCAGGCTATTAGCAGACTTCTTAGCAGAAACTTGACATGCCAGAAGCGAGTGGCATGAAATATTAAATGTATTGAAACAGAAGGACCTTCAACCAAGAATCCTCTACACACCAAGATTACCATTCAAATTTGAAAGATATCAAAAATTTCCCAGATCAACAAAGGCAGTATAACCACTAAACCAGCATTACAAAGTATGTTAAAGGGACTTCTGTATACGGAAATGTTACTGAGGCTAAATAGCTTTCATCAGTGAAAATAAACCCTCTGTAAAGATAGTAGACCAATTATTTACCAACCAAGTATGAAATTAAAACAAAAGAAGTAAAATCGACTATACACAAAATCAGTCAAGGGATATATAAAAAATGCAGATTTTGACATCTAATAGACAAAAGTGTGGAGGAGGAAGAAGAATAAAATAAAATGTACTTCAGATTGTGTATATTAAATTGATATAGTTTATTTAGTAATAATTTAATTTAATTTAATATAGTTAGGAAGCTATCCATGAACCTTATGGTAACCATAAACCCAAAGCCTCTAATAAATACACAAAAAATTTAAAAACTACATCAAAAGTATCATCCATCACAACCAAGTGGATGTATACTAGGGATGCAAGGATTGAACAACATTCATAAATCAATGTGATATACGACATTAACAAAAAAGGATAAAACCACATGATAATCTCAACAGATGCTGAAAAAGCATTTGACAGAGTTCAACATCCATTCATAACAAAACTCTCAACAAAATGGGTATAGAGAGTACAAACCCAGAGCTAACATCATACTTAATGGTAAAAAGCTGAAAGTTTTTCCTCTACAATCAGGAATAAGACAAGGATGCCCACTCTCACCACTTTTATTCAACATAGTACTGGATGTCCTAGTCATGGCAATCAGACAACACAAAGAGATAAAAGGCATCCAAATCTGTAAGGGAGAAGTTAAACTGTCACTGTTTGCAGGTGACATGATATACACAGAAAACCCTAAAGACTCCACCAAAAAAAAATATTAGAATAAACAGATTCAGCAGAGTTGCAGGATACAAAATTAATACACAGAAATCTGTCACATTCTTATATACTAACAATGGATTAGGAGAAAGAGAAATCGAGAAAACAGCTCTATTTAGAACTGCATCAAAAGAATAAAATACTTAGGAATAAACCTAACCAAGGAGGTAAAGATCTTTCCTTTAAAAACTACATGACACTCATAAGAAAAATTAAAGAAGACACCAATAAATGGAAATCTCTTCTGTCCTCATGGATAGGAAGAACTACTAGCAGAAACTCAGGAAAATAATTCCATTCACAGTTGGCATCAAAAAGAATAAAATACCTAGGAATAAACCTAACCAAGGAGGTGAAAGACCTATACTCTGAAAACTACAAGACACTCATGAGAGAAATTAAAGAAGACACCAATGAATGGAAATACATCCTGTGCTCATGGATAGAAAGAATTAATATTGTCAAAATGGCCATCCTGCCTAAATAATCTACAGATTCAATGCAATCCCTATCAAAATACCAACAGCATTCTTCAACAAACTAGACCAAATACTTCTAAAATTCATATGGAACCACAAAAGACCTAAATAGACAAAGTAATCCTGAGAAAGAAGAACACAGCTTGGGGAATTACACTCCCTAGCTTCAAGCTCTACTACAAAGCCACAGTAATCAAAACAATATGGTACTGGCACAAGAACAGACCCATAGATCAATGGAACAGAATTGAGAGCCAAAATAGAAACCCACAGGTATATGGC